CTCGCCGAAAAAGCCCCCCAAGAGATGATGAACGCACTATAGCCACAGCGTGCGGCCTGAAGGAGCAGGAGGGGGAAGATTCGACACTCCGAATCCGCAAAGACCAGAACCTAATGATCTTCAGTACACCCAACGTTGGTACGGCGGAAAGAATGGCCCGAGTGAAACACCTCAGTTTGAACGGGCAGTACTATGACATTGGAGCCTACATCGCCGCTCCGGACGACTCCTGCAGGGGAGTCATAACCAGGATCGGATTCGGGTTCAGCACCGAATATCTCACCGAGAAAATCAGACCGATGGGACCCGAAGGCCCCAGAGTTCTCAACGCACGCATGATGGGCAAGTCTGATGCGGCGCTCATCCCATCCCAAGGAATCAGGGTTCCACGCTTCGTACGCTTCGGAATGGTGGAATGCCGGTGCAAACCCTACTTTCCCAAAGAACAGGTTTACGATGTCTGCCTTGGGCTAGGGCACAGAAGAGACGTATGCCTCTACCCCGAGCAGGACAAGTGCTCTACATGCGGCCTCCTCAACGGAGATATGGAGGAGCACGAATGCTCACCCTACTGCATACACTGCGAGGGACAACATCCGTTCAACGATCCCAAATGCCCGGCGAGAAAGCGTGAACCGTATAACAAGGGCCGGCTCCAGGACCAGCAGAGGGCAGAACAGCAACAGAGACGGAGGCAGTTCAAGGGAACCAAGGAACAGCAGAGCCAAAACAATACCAACGCTAGACAGCCGCTACAGCCGCTACAGCAATGGCAGCGGCAACTTTTACCGCCAACGATGACCTCGCAATTCCACTGGCCGGCGCTGGAAAGTAGAGGGGTCGCTACAACAAACCCCTACGCTCTTTTGGCCAACGCGGGTCCTGAGAGCTACGCAGCGGCCCTCACACAGGCGCCGGGATGGAACCCGGGGAACCAGCATTTCTACCACGGACCAAGGATGGGAATACCTGTACCGAGCGAGTACGGACCGGCACCGGGGACATCGGGAAAAAAGAAAAACCCAGAACGAAAACCAAACGGGCGGCACAAGATCCGCAGGACCAGGGAGAAGTCCACGGCCCCACAGCAACAGGCAGTCCAGACCGAGGAGAGCAGGTGAGCCGAGCGGGACAGTCTCCCCAATCCTCTATCACCACACCCCATCCCACACACACCACCCAAACAAACACCCAATTGCTCCCGAGATCGACAACAACAGGGGAATTAAGCCCCAAACCACCTCCGGCCAAAAGAGCCCTAATCGAACAACAGAGCAACAAAACCCAAAACAAACCAGACTTTGTAACGCGTGAGGAGTTCTACAGAGAGGTACGATAGCTCTCCACGCAGAATTACAAACAGCTAAATTCGAACTAATGCAAGCATTCTATTTGGTTCTCAAAGAGACGGGTCTAATCAACGAGCTAACGACCTCCTCTCTTGGCGAAACTGGGAACCCGATAATCTTGCAAGTTGTCGCGGCCCAAACACCCATCCCGAATGTGACCGAGGCCATACAACCAAACCCGAGCGTAGCTTGCTGCTCCCATGATGGAAACGGGGGGAGGCAGTAGTGACGGCCACATGCATATTGTCACGAATGACAAGTGATGAGGCGGTGAATAACTGAGTAAACTGAACTTTTAATGGGGCGAACGTGTGCCCAAAAACAAAGGGAAAACGAAAGATAACAACAGAGCGTCGCGGGCGTCGAAGGCGGCGAAGCAGCAGAATCGAACGCTGAGGCGAAAACTGACTCGACAAGGTCGCGGGCGGCCTCTTATCTAGAGTGAGTCACTATCTCGAAGATTCGGCGGAGAAGGTTCGAGCGTAGCGCGCTCGGGGCGAGAATGAACAAGCACTTTCTAGACCAACAAAAGCAGGATAAACGATAGTTATGTCCGCAGCAAGAATAAACGAGAATCCAAGACAAAAAGTCAGCAGAATCGCGAGCTGCAGTTCACAGTTCACCCGTCGACGAGAGTGGAAAGTTCTATCGTTCGTAATACGGCTTCAGCCGGACGACGTGCACCACCTCGGGTCGCGGCTGACGTCTTGCAGATGGGCGCGTTCCGTCCGGAAGGACTTCGTAGTTAAGATCGCCGAGGCGTCGGATGATCTTGTAGGGTCCGAAATAGCGTTTCAGAAGCTTCTCGCTGAGCCCGCGGCGCCGTATTGGTGTCCAAACCAATACCCGGTCTCCGGGTTGAAAGTGGACGTCCCGGCGACGAAGGTTATACCGGCGTGCGTCGACTCGCTGTTGGTCTTGAATCTTGACTCTTGCCAGTTGACGAGCTTCCTCCGCGCGCTGGGAGATCAGTTGAGCGTCGTCGTTGCCATCACCGGTTGGCATGTGAGGCAGCATGGCGTCGAGCGTTGTGGTAACCGTCCGGCCGTGTACCAGTTGGAACGGTGTCATTCCCGTGGTTTCTTGAACCGCTGTGTTGTACGCAAACGTGACGTACGGCAGCACCTCGTCCCATGTCTTGTGCTCTACGTCGACGTACATGGAAATCATGTCGGCGATCGTCTTGTTGAGCCGCTCCGTTAGCCCGTTGGTCTGCGGATGATAAGCGGTTGTTCGTCGATGGCTGGTATGACTGAGCCGAAGAACTTCTTGAGTCAGCTGTGCCATGAAGGATGACCCGCGATCTGTAATCAGTACTTCAGGTGCACCGTGTCGAAGGAGAATGGACTCGACGAAAAATTTGGCGACTTCCACGGCTGTTCCCGATGGCAGGGCTTTCGTCTCGGCGTATCGTGTAAGATAATCGGTCGCGACGATAATCCACCGATTTCCTTGCGTCGATGTTGGGAACGGCCCAAGCAAATCCATTCCGACCTGCTGGAAAGGCCTAGTCGGGGCAGGTATCGGCTGCAGGAGTCCTGCTGGCTTCGTCGGAGGCCTCTTACGTCGTTGGCACTCATGGCACGACCTTGTGTATAGATGGACTGTTTTCGGGAGTCTCGGCCAGTAGTACTTGTCACGAATCCGGGCGAGCGTCCGGCTGTAGCCAAGGTGTCCAGCCGTCGGGTCGTCGTGGCATGCTTGAAAGATTTCTTCTCGCAGGCTGGCCGGAACAACCAGCAGCCAAGTAGGGTTGCTCGTTCCGAAGTTCTTCTTGAAGAGCACGCCTCGCCGCAGAACGAAGCTTGACAAGTCTTGGGCCAAGACTCGCGGAACTGAACTTCCTTGGCCTTCGAGGTGTTCGATCACGGCGCGAAGTTCCGGGTCGTCTCGTTGAAGTGCTCCCATGTCGGCATCTGTTACTGCACCGGGAAAACGGCCGTCGTCGTCGTCGTCGTCAGTGCTTTCGGGAAGAGATTCGACTGGGGCCCTAGACAAACAGTCGGCGTCGTTATGCTTGCGGCCAGACTTATGCACAATGGTCACGTCGAATTCTTGCAGTCGCAGACTCCAGCGAGCGAGGCGTCCGGCCGGGTCCTTGAGGTTGGCGAGCCAACAGAGAGCGTGGTGGTCCGTGACAACGCGAAACGGGATCCCATACAGGTACGGGCGGAACTTGGTTAACGCCCAGATGACAGCGAGACATTCCTTGTCGGTCGTCGAGTAATTTTTCTCTGCCTTGGACAGCGCCCGGCTTGCGTAAGCGATCACCCTCTCTGCTCCGTCTTGTCTTTGGACAAGTACCGCGCCGAGTCCGGCGTTTCTGGCGTCCGTGTGAACTTCCGTTTCCGCTGATGGATCGAAGTGTCCGAGGATAGGGGGCGACTGGAGTCTTTCCCTCAGTTCGTTGAACGCTTGTTCTTGCTCCTCCCCCCACTGGAAGTTCACGTTGTCCTTGGTCAGATGCGTGAGCGGTGCAGAAATCTTGGCAAAATCGCGAACAAAACGCCTGTAGTAAGCGCACAGTCCAAGAAATCTTCTTACGGCTTTCTTGTCTGATGGCTTCGGAAAATCTGCAACAGCAGATGTCTTGGCAGGATCAGGGCTTACACCCTGAGCACTCACGACATGGCCCAGGACTTTGAGCTCGCCGTAAGCGAACCGACATTTTGACGGCTTTAGTGTCAGTCCAGCATTCTGGATAGCCTGTAGCACTGCTCGCAAACGTCTCAGGTGCTCGTCGAAGTCGCTTGCGAATACCACGACGTCGTCGAGATAGACGAGGCAGCTTTGCCATTTCAAGCCGGAAAGAACGGTGTCCATTACGCGCTGGAACGTCGCCGGTGCTGTGCACAGTCCGAACGGCATCACTTTAAATTCGTACAGTCCGTCCGACGTGACGAAGGCAGTCTTCTCACGATCCCGTTCGTCGACCTCGATCTGCCAGTATCCACTCTTCAGGTCCATCGACGAAAAGTATCGGGCATGGCGCAGCCGGTCCAGAGTGTCGTCGATGCGTGGCAGCGGGTAGACGTCCTTTTTCGTTACGGCGTTTAGTCGGCGATAGTCCACGCAGAACCGAAGAGTCCCGTCTTTCTTTTTCACCAGGACTACCGGTGAAGCCCACGGGCTGCTTGAGGGCTGGACAATGTCGTCATCGAGCATTTCTTGGACCTGCTTCTGGATGACTTCTTTCTCTTTCACGGAAACACGGTACGGCGACCGATGAACAGGAAGCGCGTTGTCTTCAGTGACAATTCGATGTTTCGCAACGGTCGTTTGGCGCACCTTTGACGACGTGAAGAAGCACTCATTGAACTCGGCGAGAAGGTCAATGAGTTGTCGTCGTCGTGGGGTAGGCAGGGTTAAGTCGATGTCAAACTGCGAAGGCGTCGTTGTCTTAGGTGGCTACTGTAGTGTCCTTGATTTAGCGAAATCGACTATACGGGTTGGCAACATTGGTGTATCAGAAATGGCGGATCAAACGAACGTGAATTACCACGCTGCAGTCCTCAATCCAAGCAATCCCTAAATACTCCAACACCACAATGGTGTCAGAAGTGCCGTCCGTGGTAACGGAAGACCCCTAGAACCCGTACACCACGAAATCATCGGCGAGCACCGCCACAGCAATCAACGGAACGGGTCAACATGGCACACACGCTGCCCCCGTTTCCGAGCTTCAACGTCCAAGCGACGGATGCCAACAACATCGGCCTCGAGTGGGCCAAGTGGGTGGACAGGTTCGAGAACTTTCTCGTTGCGTATAACATCACGTCAGACGTACGCAAGAAAGCGCTCCTCCTTCATTACGCCGGTGAGGAAGTGCATGATCTCTACCGGTCTCTCCCGGACGACTCGTCATCGGCAACTGTCAGCAGCACCGCGCAAGGCGCAGCGAGAACGTCAACATCTGAGTACGACGCCGCAAGAGCAAAGCTCGACGCTCACTTTGCACCAAGAATCAACCCAACATTCGCCATTTATCGTTTCCGACAAGCACAACAGAACGTCGGTGAGTCACTCGATGCTTTCTATGCGCGGCTCCGGCAGCTGTCTCGTCATTGCAACTTCCCAGACGTTGATCTCGAGATAAAGAATCAGATCATCATCGCGACCACATCCACGCGCCTGCGGAAGTATGCCATACTGCATTCGCTGGACTTGCCAGATATCCTCAAGCAAGGACGCATGTTCGAGGACGTGGAGCACGATGTGTCTGAAATCGAGCGGAGCACCGACAAGCCAGTCCTCGCAGTACGAAAGGATGAGCAGCATCGCGGCAGCAAGCAAAAAAGAAGTTTGAAACCGCCTCAGCGACCAAACTACCAGGCACAACAAGATCAGCCTGTCGACAGATTGTCACAACTGCGGTGGCAAATGGCCACATGACGGCGGACGATCAAACTGTCCTGCATGGGGAAAAACATGCAAAGCCTGCAACAAGATCGGACACTTTGCCAAGGTGTGCCGTTCATCAAACAAGACAGTACAAACTATCAGCCAAACCCGCCAAGACAGCAGTTCAAGCGGTGAAGAACACGTTTTTGTAGCAAAAACATTGCCTCCAGCAAGCACGTCTCCCAAAGCTGTCATCAGAGTCGACAATGTTCCAATCACCTTCGTGATTGACACGGGTGCAACCGTGTCGGTTGTTGGTGAAGATGAGCTCCGGAACTGTCACCTAGATGAGAAACTGGAGAAAACATCCATAAAGGTTTTTCCATACAAGGCAACGTCTCCTCTGCAACTTTTGGGAAAAGTCTCAGTCAGCATGATGTACAAGGAAAGGTGCAGTCAAGAGGACATCTTCGTCACCCCAGGAAGCTGCGCACCACTCCTAAGCTTTGCAGCAGCATCAAATCTTGGTCTTATTCGAATCACATACGAAGTCGAAGACTCCCCAACAGGAAAGTCGATCGTGGAATCATTCCCTAACTTGTTCAAAGGAGTTGGCAAACTCAGAGAGCAGCAAATCCACCTCTTCGCGGATGAAACTGTTCCTCCCATCGCTCAACCGCACCGACGCATTCCATTTGCAGTGCGAGCACTTGTGGAGACAGAACTTGACCGTCTCCTGTCAGAGGACATAATCGAGCCAGCAGTTGGACCCACACCATGGGTGTCTCCAGTGGTTATTGTACCGAAACCACACCACCCCGATGAGATTCGTATGTGCATCGACATGCGCCTTGTGAACACTGCCATTCAACGAGAGCGACATCTGTGTCCAACAGTTGATGACATCATCGTAGCTCTCAACGGAGCAACCATTTTCTCAAACCTTGACCTGAAAAACGGCTATCATCAGCTGGAACTGGACGTGTCTTCGAGACGACTAACAACATTTTCAACGCACACTGGTTTGTTCCGCTACAAACGTCTCAACTTCGGCATCAGCAGTGCAGCAGAAATCTTCCAGAACACAATTCGCCAAGTGCTAAACGGCATCCCAAACGTCCTAAATGTCAGTGATGATATTCTGGTCTTTGGAAAGACGAAAGAAGAGCATGACGCCGCTCTAGATGCAGTCCTACATCGACTTCAGGAATCAGGACTAACGCTCAATGAAAAGAAGTGTCACTTCCACCAGCGAGAGCTGACCTTCTTCGGGCTCATTTTTTCATCAAAGGGTGTTAGCCCAGACCCTAAGAAAATCGAGGCTTTCCTACAAGTAAGAGTACCAGAGTCTCCTCAAGAGGTGAAGAGTCTTTTGGGAATGGTCAACTACTCGGGTCGGTTTCTACGAAACCTTGCTGACCTTACTCAGCCACTGCGTGAACTTGACGCTAAAGAATGCAACCTGGGAGTGGACTGAACGACACCAGAAAGCCTTCGACGAACTGCGGCGCGTCATGTCAGACGCATCTACCCTGTCCTACTTCGATCAAGCCAAGCCGACAGAGCTGGTTGTAGATGCAAGCCCGCACGGACTTGGTGCCATTTTAACACAACGAGATGGTGCACAGGTCGCAGTGATAGCTTATGCAAGCAGAGCATTAACACCCGTCGAAAGCCGCTACTCCCAAATCGAGCGAGAAATGTTGGCAGCAGTATGGGGCATGGAACACTTTCGGCTCTACTTGTGTGGTGCAAACTTTCTTTTATTGACAGACCACAAGCCCCTGGTGAGCATCCTGGGAAACCCAAGGTCGTCACCATCTGCCCGCATAGAGCGCCTTGCTCTCCGCATCCAACAGTATGCATTTGACGTACAACACACTGCTGGAAGCAGCAACCCCTCGGACTACCTTTGAAGACACCCAGTGCCACAACAGGAGACAGGCACTCGCATCGCCAAAGTTCCTGATGAGTATGTCAACTTCATCCAACGCCAGTGCATCCCAAAAGCCTTCTCGGTCGAGGAAGTTGTGGAACAGACTAAGGCAGACCAACAGCTGCAGCTACTGGTGAGAGCCATCCAGCATCCTCTACGTAACGACTGGCTGCTACCAGAACTAAAGCCATTTGCAGCTATGAAGGCAGAACTCACTTTAACACCAGAAGGTCTCATCCTTAGAGGGACACGCCTTGTCCTTCCAACTGGTCTCCAGAAACGTGCAGTGCAACTCGCACACCGAGGTCACCAGGGAATCGTAAAGACGAAACAATTACTACGAGAGAAGGTATGGTTTCCAGGCATGGACAACCTTGTGCACATGCTGGTGAAGAGTTGCCTTCCATGCCAAGCTGCAGTACCCCAAACAACTCAAGAGCCACTTGCGATCACCGAACCTCCCAGCAGTCCCTGGGAAAAAGTATCCCTCGACTTCTGTGGTCCATTTCCCGATGGGAAATATGCAATGGTGGTGATAGATGACTTTTCGCGATACCCTGTGGTACAGGTCCTCAATTCGACAAGCGCACGCAATGTACTGAGCAACCTCCGAGCAGTGTTTGGCCAGTTTGGCATCCCAGAACAAGTGAAAACGGACAACGGGCCACCGTTCCATGGCACAGAGTTTGCTGAGTTTGCCCAAGAGCTGGGATTTCGACACCACAGAGTCACACCGCTATGGCCTCAGGCCAACGGTGAAGTGGAACGATTCATGAGGACATTAAAGAAACAAGTGCACACCAGTGAACTCGAAAACAAGGACTGGAAGGCCGAGCTAGATACCTTCTTGATGTCTTACAGATCTACGAAACAAGGCACAACAACAAAAACGCCTTACGAATTGCTGTTTGGAAGACCAATGAGGAATCTCCTTCCCCTTTATGCAGCCCCAACCCCAAGAACAGTGGACTCAGAAGGACTGAGGTCAAGAGAGCTTGCAAGAAAGGCTTACAACAAGCATCGAGCTGACACACGGAGAGGCGCTCGTCGACATCGCTTCTGGGTGGGTCAGCGAGTCCTGTGTAAACAAGCCCAACACAACAAATTTACGTCGTATTACGATCCGACCCCTTATACCATTACCAGCATTCATGGATCTCAGATCAAAGCATCCCAAGGCAACCGAATGATCACACGGAATGCTAGTTTTTTCAAGGATGCCTCCAGGATCAACCGAGTGCCTTGCAGAGCAGAGACCGACCTAGATGACACTATGCCACCGTCCAGCACGGACAGTTGCATTTCAGCACCAGGGCCATCAGTGCCTGCAAGACGACAGAGCCCCCTTCATCGACGCTACCCCGTCAGAAACCGCAAGCCACCACGGCATCTTGCTGACTTTGCAACATAATCCCTTTTAAATTCTTTGTGAAGAAGAGTGAACTATTGCAAAATGAAAGAACTCATCTCAGCAAGTGTTCAGCTGAACATCGACAGCACATCATTTAGTTAATTTTGTTTTGTTACTTTGCAACATTTTATTTGATGTATTAGATTCTCAATTTCATCTTCTCACAAGGAGGGTAGCTGTAGTGTCCTTGATTTAGCGAAATCGACTATACGGGTTGGCAACATTGGTGTATCAGAAATGGCGGATTAAACGAACGTGAATTACCACGCTGCAGTCCTCAATCCAAGCAATCCCTAAATACTCCAACACCACAGCTACGAAGAGAGGTCTTCTGATATTCCGGCGATTGCGGCTGCCTCCAGGAGTTCCTCGGCGTGACCCACGGCGGTGCCTCTCGTAAGGTGCTGCGCCTCCTGTCGGAAGTTCGTTACGGGTGCGACAGTGCGTCCGTCTTGGAGCTCCGTGACGCCTCTTGCGATGCCGATCCTTCTTCCTAGAAGGAACTGGAGGCTTCCTTCGAGCAAAACCTCGCCGCAGAAAGTCTCATCGATCCCGACGGGTACGAAAACGTTTGACCGCGGCGGTAGGTTCACGTGGTTTGCGAGGACTCGTACCGCGGATGACGTCACTTTGGGGTCCTCCTGTGGTGGAGCAGGTTTTCGAAGCGTCAGCCGGTTTGCTCCGAGGTTGATGACGGTGCCATACTCGCAGAGAAAGTCCATTCCGAGGATAACGTCCCTCGAACAGTCTTGCAGAACGATGAACTTGACAGGGCACGTCTCACCGTGGATCTCGACGCGAGCAGTGCATCTCCCGACCGGTGTGATGAGGTGCCCTCCGGCGGTTCGTATCTGAGGTCCATCCCACGGCGTCGTGACTTTTCGAAGGCGGCGGGAGAGCCTCCCACTCAAGACTGAGTAGTCTGCTCCGGTGTCCACGAGCGCTGATGTGTCGTGGCCGTCGATGGCGACGTTTAGGTTATTGGACACCGTTGCAGGGCCGTGGTTTCGATCTCTGGTAGCGTTCGAGTGGGGGCCCTCCGACGTTCGTGGAGGATCTTGGCGTCGGTCGTCTTCGGCAACTCCACCTCCAGGGGTTGCCGCGCCTAGTTTCCCCGGCGAGGAGCGAGGGGCTTTCCCGTCGGGGTCGGTGCATCGGCGAAGGTGGACGTCGTGGCGACGGCGATCGGAACTCTCGGCGGAACGCAGGCTCGGGGGACTGAGGTCGTCGCAGGTACTCGTCGATCTCCCGAGGCCGTTCACCATAACGGGGGCGCGGGTCGTTCGGGTGGAACCCGCGAAGCCCAAGTCGTCGGTATGGGCATCGGCGATAGGTGTGGTCTGCTTCCCCGCAATGGAAGCACAGAGGGCGTCGGTCGGGCGTTCGCCACACGTCGGTTTTCCGGAGTGCGCGAGGCTCCGGGCGGGCGTACTGCACCAGGTCGTCGTGGCGTCTGTCGTGTTGCGGCGCAGGAGACTGACGTCGGGGCGGCGCGACAAAGGTGCGAGGAGGAGGCGGTGGCCGTCGAGCCACTGCGGCGTAAGTCAACGTGGGCTCCTCGGGGGCTGCCACGACGACGGGAGCCTCTGGCTGGAAGGTTCTCTGGACTTCTTCCCGCACAACCTCGGCGATGGAGAGTGAGGCCGGGCGTACTGCAGCGGGAAGGAGCTTCTTGAGTTCCTCCTGGACGACTTCACGGATAATTTCACGGATGCCGGGGAGGGTGGTGCCAAGGTCGGATCCGGATGTCGCCAGAGTGGTTACGCCGGGGTGTCGCTGAAGTGTCTGGCGCGTGCTTGTAGGGCCCGTTCCATATTCGTCGCCTCCGTGACGAACCTGCCGACGGTTGTCGGGGGATTACGAATGAGGCCGCCGAATATCTCACTTTTCACACCCCTCATCAAGTGATGCAGCTTCTTCTCCTCGGTAGCCTGAGGATCGGCGCGGGCGCTCAGGCGGAGAACATCCTCAACGAAGCTGGCGACGCTCTCATGTAGGTCTTGGGTTCTTGTTCGCAGGAGATCTTCGGCCCTCTCACGTCGGTGTTGGCAGGCAAAAGTCTTCTTCAATTCTTTCTTGCGCACCTCCCACGACGTCAAAGAAGCCTCGTGGTTTTCCAACCAGTGCCTCGCAGTTCCTTCCATCGAAAAGTAAAGGTTCTGCAAGCAGTGCTCGGCTGACCACCCGTTATGGCGGGCCACCCGTTCATAGTGTTGCAGCCAGTCCTCGATGTCCTCGTGTGCGTCTCCGTGGAACGGCGTCGGAGTTTTGGGTGCGACGGGCAGGTATACGACGGCAGGAGCGGCCGGGGCCTGCGCCTGTTTGGCCATCGTCGTCTTCTTCGGCTTGGGCTTGTCCAGTAGCAAACCGTATTCAGGATCCACAGGATGTTGATCGCACAGGATGTTGATCGCACAGGATGTGCGATCAACTCCAGGGCACGCTAGGTACGAAAAAGACATGGAGCATACTCCGCAACATCTTGGATCCGACAAAGGCCAAAACGGAGACTAATAAGGCTCTAGCTAAGCTTCTCCACACACTAAGTGGACAGAAAAGAAGTCGTCTCTGGGAACTTTGACTGAACGATACATCGCGGCAGGGCCCAGACCAAACTATCACCAGTACCCGGAATGCGAAGACGAGAAAGACGAACATCCCTTAGACGCAGACATCACGGAGCAAGAAGTTCGTAATGCGCTACTACACGTTAGCCGTAGCACAGCCCCCGGAAAGGACGGAATCACGTATAGGATCTTAAAAAACCTAGACGACGACTCGATTTCGGCCTTAACAAAATACTTTAATCGCATCTGGAGCATAGGCGAGCTTCCTCGGGCTTGGAAAAGAGCGGACATTACGCTGATACCCAAGCCAGGCAAGCCGCTCTCGCTCCAGTACTTGCGACCCATATCACTCACATCGTGCATAGGCAAATTGATGGACCACGTAGTGCTCCGGAGTCTTCAACCGCACTTGGAATCGACGAGCTTCTTTGCAAACTCGATGTTCGGATTCAGACCCAATCTTTCCACGCAAGACGTTTTTTTGCAACTGAAAAAGAATGTCCTCGATCACCCGAGCAGAGCCCAAACTCGAGCCGTACTCGCACTAGACTTAAAGGGAGCGTTCGACAACGTGTCTCACGACGCGATACTAGAAGGTCTCGCCCGGTCTCGATGCGGAAAACGAACGTACGATTACATGCGTTCGTTCCTCAGCGACCAAGTAAGCCACCTTAGGTATCGGGGACCTGCGCTCCGGCCTCATCCAACTCACGGGAAGAGGTACACCTCAGGGGTCGGTGCTTTCTCCAACACTATTTAACGTAGCAATGGCAGGGTTACCGGCCCTGCTAAATGCTATTCCGGGCATCAGGCACGCGTTGTACGCGGATGACATCACGGTCTGGGCCGACAGAGGCTCGGACGGCGAAATTCAGGACGCGTTACAGGCGGCGGCTGAAACTATTCAGGCGTACGCTAAAAAACTCTGGCTCTCATACGCGGCAGACAAATCCGAACTTCTCCTCATCCGGGGGCCAACCAGAAATAAGATGCTTCAGGACATTACCGTCGAAATAGATGGCAGAGCCATACCCAAGACGGACAGACTAAGAATTTTGGGGCTATGCCTAGAAAAAGACGCGAAAGCCACATTCACCGTCCAGATGATCCGAAAACAAAGCCAACAGACGGCTAACCTCATCCGAAGAGTCACCAACCGAAGAAGGGGACTCAAGGAAGGAGACTCTATCCGAATTGTACAGGCTCTGATAGTCAGCCGCAGGGCCGTACCCAGAAAAAAATTTCGGGGGGGGGGGGGGGGGGGGGGGGCCATTTTGAAAGTGTCTATTGTCTTATTTTCGCCTATGAATCATGTGCATCGGTGGCATATCATGGAGAGTTACAGCAAACCGAAGAACCGGTCCCGGTTTGGTACCCGGTAGCTGACCGGCGCCACTGCGCGTACGCAGAGGTGGAGATTAAAATCGGCTGGCTGCCAGTGCACCGACCAGGGCCGTACCCAGAAAAACATTTCGGGGGGGGGGGGGGGGGGGGGTCAGAACCCCCTAACCCCCCCCCCCCCCCCCCTGGTTACGGCCCTGGTCAGCCGTATAACTTATCACATTCCCTATTACAACTTGCGTCGGGGGGAGATCGATTCGCTGAACGCTACACTGCGCATCGCGGTGAAGACGGCAATTGGCCTACCTCAACACACTTCAACAGAAAGACTCTTTAAACTAGGACTACATAATACAGTAGAGGAGCTCGTCGAGGCACAAGAGATTGGGCAGAGGACTCGGCTCGGCCGCACGCGGACGGGGCGAGCACTGCTCAGGCGACTGGGGTACGACGGGCACCCAACACGAAAGGAAGAGGAATCGGAGCGGAAACCGGCTCATCCGACGATAGCCGCGAAGATTCGAACAATGCCGATTCCCAGAAACATGCACCCAATAGTTCACGCAGGAAGGAGACTGGCCCGAGTCACGTACCTTCGCAGACGCTATAAAGAAGACCAGGACGTGCTCTATGCGGACGCGGCCTCGTACTCTACTCCCACCTCGGGCAGGTGCATCGCGGTGTGCGGGCCGAACGGTGAGAGGCGAACAGCTGCCTCTTTGCTCGGATCACCGTCCGTCGCAGAAGCGGAAGAGGCGGCAATAGCCTTAGCTATAACTAGCACCCAACACACAAGGAGATACGATCCAAACGAAACGGTTACCATACTCACCGACTCTCAGGCTGCTTGCGGGGCCTGGGCAGGAGGGCTCCTTTCTAAATGGAGTAGAAGAATCCTAGCCCACCTAACCCACGAAGAACTCCCTTTGATTCGCATACTGTGGACACCCGGCCACACTCTTCTTCAGGGTAATGAGAGTGCAAACTCTCTCGCTCGAGGACTGACCTTCCGAGCAGCCCGGCATGAGGAAAAGAGGTGTTGGTCGAGAGCAACTCGACTAGACCCGTCTGCAACCGTCAGCAGTCAGACGA